CTGATCTGTTTATGACATTCTATTTGCTGTTTTCCTTAAGAGGGCTCTTCCCTCTACACCAGCTGAACTTCACTGTGGGTTTTGAAGGACAAAGCAGACCTTTATCAGAGCTGTTTGGAGTCTTTTCCCTTCTGTCTATAGAATAAAAGCAGTCAATAACTTGATAAGGATAATATTGTAGTCCCATTATCTCTTCATCAAAGAGACTGGCAGGCTGGGGATGTAGCTTGGTGGTAGAGCACTGGTCTGGCATGCTAGAGGACCTGGGTTTGATCACCCAGCACCACAGGAGAGACAGAGAGAGAGGAGGAGGGAGGGATGAAGAAAAGAGGGAGGGACAGAGGGAGGGAAGGGAAACAGTAAACTCTTAAGCATACTATCTAGAGAACCACATAACATACAGTAATGGGTCGAGTCTCCCCATCCTAAATTCCCGTGTCGAAGGGGGTCATAAGCTCAAGAGGATCCAGGTTTGAGGCCAGCCCAGGGAACTAGTTCACAAGACCCCATCTCCAAAATAACCAAAGCAAAATGGGCTGGAGGCATGGCTCAAGCAGGAGAGTGCCTGCTTTGCAACCATAAAGCCCTGAGTTCAAACTTCAGAACAACCAAAAAAAGAAAACAACAGTACAATTTTCATGTATTGATTGAAAAACTAAAGTAAAAGGGAAAACTGGAAAACATCACCTGCAACCTAGTAGTTCCCTCAGTAGAATACTCTGGAGCATAAACTGGTGTAAGGAAGAACTGTCTTCACTTACTTACTTATTTTGAGACAGGGTCTTGTGAGACTGGCCGTGAGCTAATCTCCCTGCTTTGGCCTCCTGAGTGCTGGGATTACAGGCATGTACCATCATGCCAGCCATATCTTTATTTTGCATAAGCACTGGAAAAATAGATTAAAAAGGAACTAGAGGGAGGTCAACTGTAGGAGCAGGAGAGGGCAAGGGAAGAGCAAGACAGGTGGGAGGAGACTACTTGTAGAGTCTTTAAAAACTCTTTAAACCATATGAAATCATTTCCATTACATTTGTAGATCTATCTACCTATATATCTGATTTAGGACAACACAAAACTGACCAAAAGCAAAATCAGGCAACATTTTAACGTTTTAAAAAAATTTTTTTGAGCCAGGGTCTCACTATGCGAACTGCAGGGCTCCAGCAACCCTTCTGCTTCAGCTCCTGGAGTTGCTTAGGTTCCTACCACCTCACCCAGCTCCAGGCAGTTTTTTTGTTTTTTTGCCTAGGGTTTGAATTCAGGGTTTCACACTTGTTATGCATGCACTCCACCACTTGAGCCATGCCCCTAGCCATAGGCAAAAATTTTTAAAGGTCACATTTGTCTCTTCTACTGATGTGGTTTGTCCTAGGCATGCATTAATACCCTAGATTTTAGTTTTTGACCAAACCTTTTTTCTTTTTGTGGTGCCGAGGATCAAACCCAGGGCCTCAGGACCTCCTGCTTGCTAGGCAAGTGCTCTTGCCAGCCAGACTTTTAAAATCTTTTTTTTTTTTTTTAGTGATACGGGGGTTTGAACTCAGGGCCTGCACCTTGAGCCATTTCACCAGCCCTTTTTTATGATTTTTTTTTTTGAGTTTACAGGAATCTTTTTTTTTTTCATTTTTCTTTTATTATTCATATGTGCATACAAGGCTTGGTTCATTTCTCCCTGATTTTTTTTTTTTTCGAGTAAGGTCTCACAAACTATTTGCCTAGACTGTCTTAGAACCAAGATCCTCCTGATCTCTGCCTCCTGAGTAGCTAGGATTACAGGCATGAACTACCAGTGTCTGGCTCAGACTTTTAAAATCTTGATCTAGCTGGGTGCTGAAGAGGATCTCACAGTTCGAGGTCAGCCTGGGCAAATAGTTCACAAGACCCTATCTCCAAAATAACCAGAGCCAAATGGACTGAAGGTGTGGCTCAGTGGTACAGTGCCTGCTTTGCAAGTACAAAGCCCTGAGTTCAAACCCCCATCTCAAAAAAAAAAAAAAAAAAAGGCAAAATAAATCTCCTTACAAACTGATCATCTCTGGTATTTGCTTCAGTGACCTGTCCCCTCCAGCTTCATGCTTTCCATGACTCACTCTGCTTCTGCCCGAGGCTCGCCCAGCTGTGTCTGAAGGCAGCACACCAGCCTGCTGCACCAAGACTCGGCAGAGCTGGGAAACCATGGAGACCCATTCTCTATGTGAAATACTTCAGACATTGCTGTTAGTATCGGGACTCATTGCCCACGGGACAAGGGGACAGAGTGAGGAGTAACACAGGACCAGGGCCCATGTTCAGTTACCCTCTTCAACCATGCTGCTTTCTTTCCTCTCTTCAGTGTCCCTGGAAAACCATCTGACTTTGCTTTGAAAGTATAGGGCTAAATGTGTATTTCCGCGGTGGAGCACTTAACTAGATTCAATTTCCAACGCCAAAAAAAAAAAGAAAACAGAAAAGGTTACTGGCGGTCTCCGGCCTTCGGAGGGTCATGTGGCAACACTGGGTGCTCAGTGGGCACAGCTGAGCCCTTTGCTGACTTCCTCACCTGATCAACATCAGTGCCCTCTCATTGTAATGCGCATTGCTGACAGCTAGGTGGTGCCATGAAACAGTCTAACGTGCTCTCAGTGCACCAATGGCAAACCATTTGTTTAAGCCCTTCAGAATTGCGTAAATAGTGGGGGAGATCTATTGGTTAATACTGTGGTTTTGTTTTAGACAGGGTCTTGCTATGTAGTCAGGTTGGCCTTGAAAACTCCATCTTCCTGTTTTAGCCTCACAAGTGCTGGGATTATAAATGTGTACCACCATACCTGCCAAGATGGTGAGACTTCTAAAGAAAATACACTGATTATGATAATGGAGGACCAGAGCAGGAGAGGAGGCAAAACGATCCACTGTGCAAACTGCCGGGTGGGACAGAAACTGGCAAGCCCCTAGCTGGCAGACACCAGACGTGTGGAGTGAGTGCATGGGCAGGGGCCATGGTCTGGAGGAGTTGGAGCCAAGGAAAAAAGCAGCTGGCAACACCTGAGTTTCCTGTGTCCTGAGAGATATGCATAGGTGCTGCAATAAACTGATAAGCCAACTTAACTGATAAGTTATATTTCGTAAAATAGTGAACATTTACTTTCTTTTTTGAGACAGTGTCTCATGATGTCACCCAGGCTGCCCAAGAAGTCATAATCCTCCTGCCTCAGCCATCCAAGTGCTGGGATTACAGGTATGTACCACACTTGAAGCCCTGGGTTCCATCCCCAATATTGGGGAAAAAAATATCTCCGTAACTACTAAAAATTGTAGAAAACTGTGTCACAAAGAATGCATTTGACCAGCATGTACCTTAGCCACAGAGAACCATGTGGAAAAGAAAAATCAAGCTGTAGAAACCAAACTCCAACTCCAGCCCCCATCCTGGGTTTTATCCCTGCTTCCTTCCACATGTTTCATTGTCACCGACACTGATTTGGACGAGAAAGTCTGGAAGACTGGTGAGCCCGTGCTCCTTTCAACTTGTCAATACATGGTAACATCTAAAATGTGATCATCAGAGGTGAGAAGCGAGGCCCGTATCACGAGTAGATACTTCACTGTTTTGCTATTGAATCAGTAAGCAATGCCAAGAAAAACACCTGGGAGGCTGCAGGCATCCAGGATCATATAAACCCTGTCCCTCTGCCCCCTGTTCAGAAACATCTGGGATCCTGTTTTTGATGTGTCTAGGAGGCCTCCTGTTCTATCTACCCCAGGACTAATGTCTGTGTTGACACTTGGTTTAAAGAATGGCTTACTCACTGCTACCAAGATGAAAACTATGTTTCTACAGAGTATGACAGTAAGAACTCTCTAGGGGATAGGACTTTTTGAAGATGACACTCACATTTTATATAAATCATCTTTTATTTCTGTAGCATACAAAAGGTATAAATATGATTTATGTAAAACCAATCACCTGCACACTCAAGCAGAAAGTATATGGAACTGGGGTCTCCAGCTCTAAGCCGGAGGGAGCAGGAGGAAACAGATTAGACCTAGTCGCCCTGCTGTGGCCCCCAACACTGTGATACCTCACAACTGGAGATAAGTGGACCACGTCAGGACGTGGTGTCGGGGCACTTTCATAAATGAGGCACTTGATAGGAAGCAAGCCTGAGGTGGGAAGTCATGTCAAAACGAGGCAGGACCTGCAGGTGGGGCCAAGCAGTCTCCCATTCTCCTGCTGTGAGTCACGTGGCTTTGATGTGGTACAAGGAGCAACAGGAAGAGAGGCGGAGGGCAAGTGCCTTGGAGCAGCAGCTTGGGACCTAGCCTGGGAGGGAATTCTAGGATGGGATGAGCCAGGAACTGGTGAAGAGTTGTTGCCTGCTGGGATGTGCCATACTCAGAAGGCCTCAGCTGGAATCTCAGTACCCACGGGCCAGGTGGGTGTCAGGCGAAGGGCCCCAGCTGGCCCAAGAGGGTCTGCAGAGTCAGATCTGTGAGCTGCTCCTCACCAATCCCTCCTACTCCTTTCCTGCCATGACACGGAGGGTTTCTGTGCGTAACGTTCCCTCACCTCTCCCTGCAGCAAGTATGTGTGACCTCCACACTAGTGGCTCCACAGTGACAGCTATGGCCCTGGACTGTGAAAGTAGCCGTCAAATGCCTCCCAGTCCCCTGTAGAGCGAATGCATTCAGTAGAAACTGAAATGAAGACAATTAGAGAAAATTCCCACATCGTTGATGATAGATCTGGCCACAGCCACTTTTTTTTTTTTTGGTGGTACTGGGCTTGAACTCAGGGCCTACACCTTAAGCCACTCCACCAGCCCTTTTTTGTGAAGGGTTTTTTCAAGATAGGGTCTCACGAACTATTTGCCCAGGCTGGCTTCAAACTGAGATCCTCCTGATCTCTGCCTCCCAAGTAACTAGGATTACAAGTGTGAGCCACCGGAGCCTGGAAAATTATGGATTTTTTTTTTTTTTTTTTTTTTTTTTTTAGGCACTGCTGGGGTTTGAACTCTACCTCTTGAGCTATTGCACCAGCCCTGGCCGCAGCCACTTTAACTGATATTGGTGCTGGAAGACAGGGAAGGTAGACTGTGGCGTTGGAGCCTTCCCAGCCCAAGGGAGCCAGCCAGCTCAGAGAAGTAAACACCACACTCCCTCAGAGGAGAACGCACAAGTCCACATCTGTTCTTACTGTGTGGGTCAAGTGCAGGAGCTGCCCTCTCTCAGAATGACATCACCTGTGGGGACTCCAGATGAACAGTTTGAGTTTTCTCTGTCCTAGCGGTAGATGACACTCCAGAAGCACTGTCACAAGGAGGTAAAGCTACACCACAGTGGCTGTCGTTTGAATGCCTCTTAATCCACAGGGCTGCTGCGTCCCATCCTCGCTAGTGATTTCACAACCACAGGCCATTCTGGAAGGAGCTCAAGCTCAGAGTACACGGACATACTTGAAGCAGAGGTGGGCAAACGAGAGCTCATAGGCCAAGTCTGGCCTGCTGCCTCTTTTGTCAACAAAGTTTTATGGAACTCAGCTACATTCATTCCTGTGTGAATTGGTTATGGCTGCTTTTGTGCTACCAAGGCAGATAGGAATTGAGTGAGAGAGACTATCAGGCCATTGCTGTAAAACATTTGCAGCCTCCTGCCCTGAAGACTAAAAACAATTTTGGGGACAGTCCCACTCTGACCTCTCTGAAAGGTCTTCAAAAAAAGTGACCCAAGTATTTAATCATAGAACCTGATGCACACACACACACACACACACACACACCCTCCACAGTATTGGGGATTGTGCTCAGGACCTGTGGCGTGCTAGGCCAGCACTCTCACCACAGAGCCCCTCCCCAGCCCGTGGAAACTTCACTCCTGAGGCAGCGTCTGCTGGGCAGTGACCTCAGGAGTCCCAGATGTGCCCTAGATGAGAGCCTCTCTGTGCTTTCAACAGTCTCTTGTCCATGCTGAGCTGTGATCACTGACCAGGTCTCTGAAGCCCAGAGAAGGTGTGTGTGTGTGTGTGTGTGTGTGTGTACCCACGCGTGCATATGTGTGTGAATGCGTGCACACACACACATGCACACAGAACACCCACTCGGCGATCATTCCAAAAGGGGCAGACTGTTGTTCTCCATGTCCTGGGGTAGGGTGAGGGTGGAAGCGAGAAGGCCCAGGTCTTCCGGCCATTCCTCATTCACATGCCAGCTTACTGTCAAAGCTCGAAAGCCCGATGGCGAAGGCCTGAAGTGCACACAGTGGGTAGTTGTAGTCCAGAGTGAACACGTCGTCTGCCACACGTCCAAACTGCATGACTATGTAGTCAGCTAGGGCCAGAAATAAATGAGGTTAGAAGATGACGTGGTGGTACTGGGGACAGATGCAGAACAACAATTCCTCTAAACAGGCCAGGTAATCACCAGTCCTCTTCAGAACAGGAAAGTAAAGAGGGCAAGTAAAGCGGTGGAGCTGCAGCCCAATGGTAGAGTGCTTGCCTAGCATCTTGAGGCCCTGCTTTATCCCTAGCACAACAAAACAAAACAAAAACCAGAAAAATTTTAAAAAAAGAAAAAAGATAGCAAACTTTGTAGCTGGATGTGGTGGTGCATGCCTGGAACCCCAGCACTCGGGAGGCTGAGGCAGGAGGATCTTGAGTTTGAGGCCAGCCTGGGCTGCATAACGAGTTCAGGGCGCCTCACAGCAAGACCCTGTCACAGAAAAAGAAAGAAAGAAAGAAAAAGGCAGCGTGCAAAAGACGGAAAGCAGCAGTAACAAAGCGTCTGCTGACCGCAAGCGGAGTTTCTATTTCTGTCCCTTTCACCTAGACTGGAACATATTCCTGACCAGCATGAAGAGCAGGACAAAAGTCCAGGGTGGCTGTCTGGGAACACAGCACGCTCCATGGCTGGCATCATGAGCAAGCTTTCCTGAGGGACATTTGCATCTGCATCCGAGCAGCCCCACACTCTCTCCCCTCCGACAGTGACAGTAAGGGCCTTTTCCTCTACAGCTGTATGTAGCTTTGTGTTTCCAAAGGAATGGTGACTTTCTTAAGTCACTCTCTCCTGAGTATAACTCTCCATGGGAAGGCTCATGTCAATGCCTCTCCTGTTCCCATCCACCCCTTCCTGGGGGCTTACGGTCATTCCCATGGACTATCTGAAAGTTCTTCACAGATGCCTGAGTGACCCGGCCATGGAAGTTGAGGACGTAGGACTGGGTGTCATCGTTCCACACAGGGGCCTTGTTGTGCAGCTCAATCAAGTTCTCCATGGTTTTGTTTTGCCATTTTGAAAGCAAGCTCTCGTGGTCCTGGATGGAGGAAAATTATTACTTCACCCTGAGACCGAAAAGAACTCATTCATTTGCAATTCTGTGCGGTGGAAGGCAGAATGGGGAAGTATTTTCTCCACTTTAGAAAGAACAAAACAGAAGCAAAGAGGCAAAGCCAGACATTAAGTCGGATGGTTTGTCGTTGTTGTTGTATTATTTTTGTTTTAATTCTGGTATGTTATCTAGCATTTCTCTTTGCAGAGGGAATGGTTTCACTCAACAACTCCAGCAACATCTGTGGAACTGCGCTTGTCCTCAAGTTTTGGAGCCACAGTGCTCCTAAAAGAGAGGATGAGACACACTCTGGTTTGGAGTTCTGCAAGAATCAATTCATTGTTTTTTGAGTCCCTGCTGTCTAAGTATGTTCTTACTTACATTCCGTGGCCGGAATGGGATCCGTTCGTGATTCAGATTCATCCCTGGGATAATTACAGACATCTTCCTAGGACCTTTAAATCCAAGCACATTTGTTTCCTGGAAGATAGGAAAATGAAGCAGAATTTGATAACAGAAAGGAAAAAGAGACCACATTCTGTTCTAACAAGAGACCTTTCTTGAACAAGAAAAAAGTTGACAAGAGTACCAAAAATGATTTTATTACTTTGTTAAACAAAAAGAGACAGAGAATCAAAACAGGAGGCCAGGTGCAGTGGTGTGGGCCTGTAGTCCTAATACTTAGGAGGTTGAGGCAGGAGGATCACTTGAACCCAGGAGTATGAGGCAGCCTGGGCAATGTAGTGAGACCCTGGCAAGAAAGAAGGAAAAGGGAGAAAGATGGAAGGAAAGAAGAGAGGGAAGGAAGGGAGGAATGAAGGGAAAAAAACAAAGGAAGAAAGGGAAGGAGGAAGGAAGGAAGGACCAGGTATGGTGGCACAGACCTGTAATCCCAGAACTCAGGAGGCTAAGGCAGACCACCCTGGGCTACATGGCAAGTTCAAGGCCAGCCTGAGGTACACAAATGGATCATGTCTCAAAAAAAAAAAAAAACGGAGGAAGGAGACCAGTTTAATTTATTGTAATGCTGACCAATGGTAAGCGGTAAGGCAGGTCTGAATTAAATGCACTGGGGAAAGAGCAGAGAAGGCAAAAAGTACCACAAAACTGAAAAATAGCTGAACTTTGTGATTTATAAGCAATTAAAACTCAAATGTATGGAAAAAACAATGCCAAACATGAAGACATGAGATGAGAAAGGGGAAGGAATGGCAGCAGTGGAGGAGGGGAGGAAGCACACGACAGCACTCACATAGCAGATTGCAGCCAGCTCCTGCCGGGTGTGGGCCTTTTCTACCAGACCCTGGGCCTTGACTGGGCTGACACCATGGTCATACACTGTGAACTTGGTCCCCATGAGGTTGGATCTAGCGTCAGGAGAAAAAGCCACCATGATGATGTGTATTTTTTCTGTCTAGAAGAGGAGAAAGGTAGTAGAACATAGGCCTATCTGCCTGTTCTCCAAATGCCAACGTGATGCCATTATTCTCCCACAGATCTCACGTTACAACAAGGAAGGGGCTTACATTTAACTTTCTCTGTAAGACTGCCACATCTGTACATGCTAACCATACAAGGGATATGGGCTATTCAGAAACTGTAGGAATAAAGCTATCAGAAAGAGCAGCACTTGATTAACTGCTCTCACCTGAGTTTGCCAATGTAGCTGTCCCCTTCCCGAGATAAATCTGTTGGGTCAGTGGAGATCAGGTAGTTGGATGTTTTGCTCTTTTTCCGCTTTCTTCCTGCAAGAAGAAATATCTGGAAAAAGGAAATTTGTGAGTCAAACATGAAGTCAGCCAGGCACTAGTGGCTCATGCCTGTAATCTTAGCTACTCAGGAAGCAGAGATAATCAGGAGTATCATAGTTCAAAACCAGCCCAGGCAAATAGTCTGGGAAACCCTATCTCAAAAAACCCATAACAGAAAAGGGCTGGTGGAAAAATGGCTCAAGGTGTAGAGCACCTACCTTGCAAGTGTGAGGCCCTGAGTTCAAAATCCAGTGCCACCAAAGAAAACCCACGAAGTCCAGTGAACCCCCATGGTTCTAAGATCTATCCATTCTGCAAATGTGCCACACATCAGTCAGTCTTTGGATCTTTAGTCTTTTTTCTAACCCTCTTATTGCTCCTCACAACACACTGTCAGCTGCAGAACTGTGGGTCAGTAATAGAGCACTTGCCTGGCATGTGCTAGCGCTGGGCTCCATCCCCACCACATACACACATGCACACGCACACGCACACATGCTACAAAATAGAATTCACTATCAGGGTTTCCTCCACATACAATTTCTCTAAACTCATTAGCTTGATTCTTTGTAGAGTTATTTGCAACTTTATCATTAAAACTTCCAGTAATTTCTGGAAGAACCTTCATCTAAGGCCATGAATAAGAGTCTCTCCAACTTCAAGAGAGATGGGATCTGAACCTTCCTGCTCATTACTGTCACTGCTTGCTTAATACTCTGATTTGATTTCTGTTGTTGTGTGTCTGCATCCTTCCTGAACTCTACTAGACTACAATGAGGACAGGGAAGCAGGAGCTGCAGTGGCTAAAATGGGGGCGAGGGAAATCCAACAGAAACGGACTTGAATCTGGCTCTACACTTACTAGTATGATTTGGGGCAGTGAGTCACTCCTTAAGCCCCCATCATCTCATCCATAAAGTAGAGATAAGCCTTCTAAGAAGGTGATCATAAGGATCATGATCAGTAACACACATAAATACTTCATGCATGCCTGGCATGTTGTGAACACTCAATAAACAGTGCTCACAAGAAAATAACACCTATCATTATCATCTCATTCCTAGGCTCTTAAAGTCATCCCCTTAGAACTGGTATTAATCCAACAGGTACTGCTCAACAGTGAGCATAAAACTAACTCAAACTTATAAATTAGAATTTCTAGGGTGAGAAGCAAGGCATTTAACTTAAATGTTCTTCTGAATTTCCTATTCCCTTATTCTCAGAACTACTTCTTCCACAATGTCATGTTCTACCACAACATGTTGAAAACACCCAACACACAATAAAAAGCAAATGGTTTGTGAGACCCTACCTTGAAAACACCCAACACAATAAAAAGAAAAATCAGAGCTGGGGGCATGGCTCAAGTGATAGAACGCCTGCCTAAAAAGTGTGAGACCCTGAGTTCAAACCCCAGTATCAGGAAAAAACAAAGCAAGCAAAACCAAGGATCACACAGTAACATGCCAGAGATAAATAATGGAAGGGAGGTGGAAATAATTACACTGGAACATTCTCTGAGCCTGGAAAGCAGCTCAGGGGTACAGCACTTGCTTAGCATGGATGAGGCCCTAGCCTCCATCCCCAGCACAGAAAAGAGAAGAAAAACAAGGCTGTTAGGAATCGACTCTCATACCTTCTGGTTCCCGTCTTTTTCCAAGTGCATATAGTAGGTGGGGAAGAGACCCCGATCCATTCCCTTCTTGGCCCTGGTTACCCGGCACTTTACGGTGATCCCTCGAGGGGCGGGGCTATATGCAAAGTCCTCTAAATTGTCCACTTCTCCCAGCTGGTTGTCCACCTGTTGGGCTGTAGTACCAGAAGCTCCTGCATCCTGAAAGGACAGCCACAGGTGAACAAGAGCAGGTTGGGTCAGAAAGTCTGTTTCTTCGTGAGAAATACTTCCTGGACTTTACCCCTGTGTCTTCAGTCTTCTGACAAAATGGAGGGAGACTGAAGAGTCGAACAAGGATGTGTATATCGGGAGTAAAGAAGGAGCTTAGTGCATAAAAGGGAGGTGTGGTGGTACATGCCTATAATCCCAGCACTCAGCAGGCTGCGGCAGGAAGATGGTGAGTTTCAGACCAGCCTTGGCTACATAGTGAAACTCTGAGACAGAATATACTCTAGCAGTCATGAACTCTAAATCTGAATTTGAGCTTAAATCTTTGAAGAAGCCCTCACTCATTCAGTAATGGAACTTAAACACGAAAGCCATGTTTTGGAAAAAGTCACATTAGCTCCAAAGAAAGAAGGTTACGAAGTCCATACCGTGGTTGATTTCTGGGTGGATGCAGAATTGGGTCTCTCTGCTTTTGAATACGGTGATTGGGAATGTAATTTTTTTCCTTCTTCATCCTCACCATCCGTCTCCTCATCAAAGTTCAAGCTACCAGAGATACCTGGCAGGAAAGGGAACTCTGTCAAAAGCAGCCAACACTGGTTTCAAATGGAGATCTTTGAAACAAAAATAGTTTTTAATTTTCTTGCTTAAAGCATCCTAACTGGGTTGGGGTCACTCGATGGTAGAGCACTTGCCCAACATGTGGGGCCCTGAGTTCAAATCCTACCACTACTACCACACCCAAAGAAAAAAACATGGGGGAAAATCCTAACTACTCTGACCCCAAACAGACACCTTACTCAAAATTTGACAATTCTTCATATTCTCACATACAACTCCTTGTTTTCTCTTCCACTATTGCCATCCTAATTTGTCTTTTTAAAACATTATGTCTAGCTGGGAACTGGTGGCTCACACCTGTAATCCTAGCTACATGGGAGGCAGAGATAAAGAGGATTGTGGTTTGAAGCCAGCCCAGGCAAATGGTTTGTGAGACCCTACCTTGAAAACACCCAACACAAAAAAGGGCTGAGGGCATGGCTCAAATGGTGGAGTGCCTGCCAGAGGGCACAGAGTCCTGAGTTCAAATCCCAGGAAGACAAAAATTAACAAATTATGTCTAGTGGGAAAATGTATTTGGAAACCATCTATCTGATAAGGTATCAATATCTGCAAGAAAGAACTCCAACAACAACAAAACAAATAAGGCAACTCAAAAACTGGACCAAGGACTAGGCTAGAAATTTCTCTAAAGATACGGAGGCCAATAAGCATATGGAATCATGCTGAGTATCAGTAGGCATAAGGGAAATGCAAACCAAAAGCACAAGACACCATTCCACCCCAGGAAAAGTCTGTTACTAGTTTTTAAAAATAAAAAAAAAAGTAAAAGAAGTAACGGAAAAAATGTGGAGAAACTGGAACCTTTGTGCATTGCTGGTAGGAAAGCAAAACTGTGCAGTTCCTGTAGAAAATGCTACGGCAATTCCTACAAAAATTCAACAGAATTACCGTGTAATCCAGCAATTCCACTTCTGGGTATAAACTGAAAGCAGATCTCAAATGGGTATTTGTACACAAATGTTCATAGCATAATTTATAATATAAAAATGATAAAAACCATCCATAAGCCTACCAATTGATGAATGGATAGGTAAATTGGAGTATATGCTTACAATCGAAAATTATTCTGTCTTTAAAAGGAGTGACGTTCTGGGCTGGGGCTGTAGAAAAGCACTTGAGTAGAATGCAGAAGACCCTGGGTTTGATCCCCAACACCAAGAAAAAAAAGGAATTAAGTTTTAATACATGCCACAATATGGACTAACTTTGAAGACATGATATACTAAGTGAAATGAGCTACCAGAAAAGGACCAATCTTCTAAGAGTCCACTAATACAAAGTACGTACAAAGTACAAATTCATAGACAGGATAGCAGCTATCGGGCTGGAAGGAAGGGGGCGCTATTCTGAATGAGTATGTAGTGTCAGATGAAAATATTGCTGTACAGCAACCCAAGCGACTTACTACCACTAAACTGCACTTAGAACTGGTTAAAACAGCAAGGAAATTTTACGATGTATCTTTTACCATAATAAAAAAAAATTCTCTATACCAGTTACTTTTCTTTAGCTCTTACTGTTTGTTTTTTGGGATAGGGTCTTGCTATGTAGTCCAGGCTGGCCTTGAACTCTCAACTGGTCCTCTTCCTAAGTGCTGGGATTATAGGTTTATTAGTTACTTTTTTGTCTTCCTATATTTTATTAATCTCCGGTCTAGGAATGCTTTAAATACTACTACCTTGGATTTATATAGCACATTTTATAGAAAAAAATTTTTTTTGGCAATACTGTGGATGAACCCAAGGGCCTTGCACATGTTAGGCAGGCATCCTACCACTGAACTACACCCTCAGTTCTATAGAAAACTTAAAATTATTGGATGAAAGACAATTTTTTTCTTTTTACCCTCACATGTATTTGAATTAGAGGCAGAGATTCTGATAGTCTTAAGTTTTGATTTGGCTTTGTGGTACTGGGACCTGAACTCAGGGCCTTCACCTTGAACTACTCCACCAGCCCTTTTTCTAGATAGAGTCTCGAGAGCTGTTTGCCCAGGCTGGCTCTGAACCGAGATCCTCCTGATCTCTGCCTCCTGAGTAGCTAGAATTACAGGTGTGAGTCACGAGTGCCCGGCCTGGTTTGTGTCTTGTTTGTTTATGAGACACATAATCTAGAGAATAGAAGTGTGTGACAAAAGAAGTACGGTGCACAGATTTACTATGTGTGTGGAGAGGCTCAGGGAGAATTGTTTCCTCAAGAGCAAGAGGCAGAGTAGGACCACAATTAAGCCTTTTCTCTTTGGTCCAGAGTGAAGACATCCCTTGCATAATAATTGAAATGGCCTCCAAGTATGGATCTATGAGCAAATTTATAACGTTAGCGTGGCTTTTCCTCCAAATCACTTTGTGCCCACATTCAACCATCTCAGAGGAGAGAAAACTATGGTCCACTCTTACAGTGCATAAATAAATTGGTATTAGCTTTATTCCAGGATACCCAATATAAGACAAAGGTTAGTACAACAACAACAACAACAACAAACCTCAAGTAAAAACATGTGTCCACCCAAAACTCATACAACAGCCCCACATCTGTGGTTTCAGTAACCTTGTCAACCACAGCCCAAAAATATTAAATGGAAAATTCCCCACTTGAAAGAGAGCGCATACTCACATAACTTTTATTATGGTATATTGTTACAATTGTTCTATTTTATTTTAAGTTCTTGTGGTTAATCTCTTACTGTGACTAATTTATATATCAGAATTTCTCACAGATATGTATGTCTTGGAAAAACAAACCACTCACAAAGAGCCAGTATTGAATGATTCAATTTATCTGACATGTCCAGATAGGCAAATCCAGAGACAGTGTATGGAATGCTGGTTGCCAGGGCCGCAGGGATTGGAGGGAAATGAGAGGTGAACGCAGGTTTCTTTTTGGTGTGATTAATTTTGATAATGCTTGCTTTCTTTGAATACACTAAACACCAATTTATTGTTCCAATTTAAATGGGTGACTTATATGGTATATAATTTATATCTCAAAACAAATGGTTTTTTCCTTTTTGTTTTTGGTATTTTAGTTTTGGTTTGTGAAGGACATTTCTTAGTCTTCTACTTCCTAAAATGTTAACACATTTTTGGTAGCAAAAAGGCAGAAAATGCTTGAGATCTGACTACTGTGCAGTTACCTTCACGCAGTGCTGTTTTTAAATGCCATTTTCATACCAAGAACTCAATTTATGTGAACACGGCCTTTTTTTTTTTTTTGGCACTACTGGAATTTGAACTCAGGGCCTACACCTTCAGCCACTCCACCAGCCCTTTTTTGTGATGAATTTTTTTGAGATAGGATCTCGTGAACGATTTCCCCAGGCTGGCTTTGAACCACAATCCTCCTGATATCTGCCTCCTAAGTAGATAAGATTATAGGTGTGAGCCACCAGTGCGCAGCTATGTGGACATATCTTAAGGTAAAGACCAAGCATTTCTCCCAAATATTTAAGACAATCACCTTGGACCTATTTCAGGGATTTAATTCTGTAGACTTACCAAAGAATGAACCTTTCAGCCAAGACGCAGGCCAGGGAGGCAAAGAACTCTCAGCACTGAAGGGCCTGTTCTGAGGAGGAGCCCAGTGGCTCCACAGCCAGCATAGAGGGAGGCAGTATGGCTTCTACAGCCAAAGATAAAGAGCTAGACTAAGCTGGGCACTGGTGGCACACCCTATAATCCTAGCTACTTGGGAGGCTAAAATAGGAAGGATCATGGTTCGAGGCCAGTCTGGGCAAATAGTTCATGAGACCTCATCTCCAAAATAACCACAGTAAAATGGACTGGAAGTATGACTGAAACAGTAGAGCACCTACTTTGCAGGTATGAAGCTCTGAGTTCAACACCCCAGTCCCACAGGGCTCCGGTGGCTCACGGCTGTAATCCTAGCTACATCAGGAGGCAGAGATCAGAAGGATCGCAGTTTGAAGCCAGCCCAGGCAAACAGTTCCACAAGACCCTATCTCAAAAAACCCTTCACAAAAATAGGTCTGGTGGAGTGGCTCAAGGTGAAGGCCCTGAATTCAAGCCCCAGTACTGCAAAACAACAATAACAACAAAAACCCAGTCCCACCAAAAAAGAAAAAAAAAAAGAAAGAACTAGACTGACAGAGAACCTTGGTCTGCCACTGGTCAACTGGACAACTTTGGGTAAGTAACTTAGCTTTTGGTTAAACAGAAAGTTCTTTGCTTTGACTCCCACCTACTCAACTGCACCTTTTACTTTCTTTTGCTATAAAAGTGTGGTAGTAAAGTAATAGGGAAGTGTCACGATGGCCTTCATATTACACAGGGAAACCGAGGCAGGGAGAATGAAGTAGTTTGCTCCTTTCCCTGCCAGATGGTATAGACAGCAAACAGGTTCCAGAACTGTGCTGCCTCTATACACCCTGCACTGCGGCCACTTGTACCCATTGACACAAGCATCTCATGTTTTCTACATCTGGGTGCACATGCTATCTCTTCTGCTCAAGTTTGCCTCCTAACTACCAGTGTGATCTAAGACAGACACTGGTCTCTCTTTTAATCCTCAGGCAGGCTCTCACTCTGTAGCCCAAGTTAGCTTTGAACTGGTATATCCTCCAGCCTCTGGCTCCTGAGTGCTGGTATTACAGGCCACCATGCCTGGTTCAGAGCTAATTTTATATACACAATGGAGACAAAGCTCTCTTGGGTACTGCTAGCTTTTTTGGCTCACTTGCTTTGCTTTGTTGGTGCTGGGCTGAGCCATGGCCTTAGAGCATGCTAGCCACTGAGCCCAGGACCGAGCTGTCAAACGAGACATTCAGCAGATGCCCAACATGTCAGTGCCAAACAGCTTCCCCAGGTGACACCAGCACACTGGCAGACTGCATCCTGCTGGGCTCAGCTCATCATGAGCTCCATGCTGCCCTCGTCCCTCATGCTGCCCTGGCAGTCATCTCATCTCTCCTCTGCTTTTCACTTTCACACTATATTGTAACAACCCTGGGTCAGGCACCTGTCAAACCATCTCCTAACTGGTTCTCCTGCTTCTAGGCATGATCTCTGATTCATTCTTCATGCTGCTCCTTTTTGCTCTCTCTCTGGAGAAGGAATCTTCTCTTCACACATGCTAGGCAAGTGCTCTGCCACTGAGCTATATCCCCAACCCTATGCAGACTAATTTTTCTAGGGCCCTCCTAGGTTTTTGGGTTTTTTCTAAAAGCCCTCATAGGTTCCTATTATGCTTTAGACAAACTCCTCACTCCTGCCCTGGCCTAAAAGAGCCAGGTAACTAGAGCTGCTCACCTGTACAACCCTCTCCCCAACCATCAGCTCACACTCAGCTATGCCATCTGAATAGGCCAGCTCCCACCTGTGTCAGGCCCTCACACAGACTCCACTTTCTCTGGGCAGCGTCCCAAACCTCCAAGCCTGGGGTCAGGTACCCTTTAGGGACTCTGTGGCACCTTGACTTCTTGGCTACTTAAGAGCTCAGAATAACCATTCTCTGAGAGCAGGAATCAAGTTTACTACTGTGTCCTAAAGGCCTAGGTAATGCCTGACACAGATACACTCAGAACCTATGTTCCAAATGGAGGCACATACGAATCTCCTCTACCATTCTGTAGACGCTCCTGATTCATCTGTTCCAGGAACTAGCAATGCCTACCTAGTACAACATTGGCACTCAGGAGGTATTTATTCCTTATTGGGCTTCAGATTTCTTATTTGAAAAATAGGCAAACATTTAGCTGAGCATAGTGGTGAATGATATAATCCCATTACTTGGGAGACAGGCAGGAGGATCACGAGTTTGAGGCCAGCTTTGGCTACAAAACAAAACCCTGTCACAAGAAAGGGAAGAAACAGAAAAGCTAGGCATGTTGGTAACACACCTGGAATCCCATCACATAAGAAACGGAGGCAGGAGGATCTCCAGTTTCAGGGCAGCCTGGGCTACATAGCAAAACCCTGTCTAAAAAACAAAACAAAAAGAAAGGAAGGAAGGGAGGGAAGGAGGGAGGGAGGAAGAGGTATGACAGATGCTTCATCCCTTCTCACTATAAAATTATTTTTCTAAGGAACAAAGAAGGGACCTCTGAAACACACAGGAGTATTTATGGACTGAAGATTCCACTGGCAGAAAGCAAGCTCTCAGTCACCATGGACTATGGATGGAGGCAGGGCACAGGTGTTGAGGGCAACTTTGTGGAAAGAGGTGGGGACTGAAAAATAGAGAGAGAGAGAGAAATAGATTTTGTAATGCTCAACACCATCACCTCCATAAATCCTAAACCACATTACAAGCACTTTTGAGTCATGTAGATTGTTAACCAACAGTGAAAGAAAGGAACAATTGTATAACTGATTAAGAAGACAAACTGTCTTCAATCATTACCAATCCTCACTGTGCACCAGTGGCTCATGCCTATAATCCTAGCTACTTGACAGGTTGAGATCAGGAAGATTAAGGTTCAAGGTCAGCCTGGCAAATAGTTCATAAGACCCCCATCTCCAAAGTAACCAGAGCAAAACAGATGGGAGGTGTGTCTCAAGTGGTAGAGTGCCTGCTTTGCAAGTATGAAGCCTTGAGCTCAAACTCCAGTCCTACCAAACACACACACACACACACACACACACCACCCACCTCACCATGTTTTTGGAGAATCTCCCGAAGGTCTGGCTTGGAAGCAGTGTCTGGAGCACTTTCCCCATCCACACTTCCTTCAGTGTCCTCTTCTGTAGCAGAGGAGCCCACTGAGAGAACATGCAGTTTGTTTTCCAAATCTTGAGTATCTGGCTTCAGAAAGGCAGCTGGCCCATCAATGCCTATGATCCAAAATAAAGAGGGCAGTGTTTATCCAGTATTTAGCTGGTTGGCTTTAGTGGATGTGACCAGAATTAAGAACTACCAACCCAGGTCGGGTGTGTGGTATCTCCAAATTAAACAAACAAACAAACTGAAATCCACCTCCCCTTTTCTCTTTCCTCTATACCACAAGAACATATGTCTGAGACTGGTGGTGATTTTATTAACAGTTTTGTTTGCTTTGATGTTGCACATTAGAAATTTAGGATTGAGAATAAGAGCTGGGGGTGCTTAGCAGGCAAAAGGCCTTCCATTCCATCCCCAGCACCAGAGAGAGAGAAACAAGTAGATCCTGTCCACACCCTGCTAAGGGACACAAGTGAGAGGCTCTTATTTCTACCTAATCTCCTCTTCCCTCACCATCTCAGATGCTCCCCTGAGCTACCTACTGCAAAAATGGATGTTCTCTACTACTCCTGGCTTCACGGTCTTCCTCTGCCATGGTCTTGCAATCAAAACTATAAGCTGCTCAGTGATGGGGTATAGCTCCACACCTCTAGTATAAATGAACTCCTGGGCTCCATTCCCAGGAATAAAGAAAAAAAACCCCAAAATTTCAAGCACCTCAAATGGCAGAGCATCTGCTTTGCAAGCATGAAGCCCTGAGTTCAAACCCCAGTCCCACCAGAAAAAAAAAACTAGAAGAACTCATTTGGCATCTAAAAACAATAGTACGAAGATGGACATGAACTTGAAGGCATCTTTTATTCTACTCAGATGTGGAATGTGATTATAAAGATTTAGGAAGGTACCTAGAAGTGATGCTAATTTTGTCCTTGTGCTCCATCTCAGACTCCTCCTGCCTTCTTTTAGGTCTGTGAAAAGTGTACCCCCGCAGAAGTGAGCTGCCTAAATACACACCATGGAGGACGACGTCGCTGGGTGGGGTCTGAGGATCCACCAGAGGCCTGTGCTCCTCGCTACCTCTTGGCTTCAGCCGCCGGAGCCTGGCTTCGGGGTTTGGCTGGACCATGAGGGGCTCCAGGCGCTTCTTTCTCTGCTTCTTCTCCAGCAGTGCCCTCTAGGAAGGAAATGTGATATTACAGCTAGGAGACCAGTCACTTTGAACAGTCTCAAATGGGAAACTGAGACACAGTTTTTTGTTTGTGTTTTGAGACAGGGTCTTGCCATGTAGCCCAGGCTGGCCTAAAACTCATGATCCTCCTGCCTCAGCTTCCTAAGGACTGGGATTATGGGCCTGAACCACCACGTCCAGTTTTACAGTCTTCCACAAATGTTGACTGATCACCTATAAAAACTTATTTGAAATTACAACTGAGACCATGATTCAAGTCTACTGCAAGTACAGATGGTCACTACATTGCTCTCAAAGCAGGATCACACGTTAAAAATGTATAAACCAGCCAAGCGCTGGTGGCTCAGGTCTGTAATCCCAGTTACTCAAGAGGCAGAGGCCAAGAGGATGGAGGTTCAAAGCCAGCCCCAGGAAATAATTCACAAGATCCTATCTTGAAAAAAATAAGTGGCTCAAGTGGTAGACCACCTGTCTAGCAAACATGAGGCCCTGAGTTCAAACCCCAATACTGCTAAAAAAACAAAACCAAAAACATACAAATGCACACATGTGCACAGGGAAATGCTGAGAGGAGCACAGCAACAGTGGCTTCTCCAGGTGGCAAAATATGAATACTGTTTCATTTTTTCAATTTTCTATATTTTCCTACTTTTGAATTTGGAAGGACAAAATACTTTTGGTGCTGAGAATCAAACCCAGGGCTCCTACATGCTAGGCAATCACTCTACCACTGAACTACACCCCCAGCTCTGAGAAACAATTTTATTATCCCCTGAAGCCCAAGTTATTTTCATGTTTAATCAGCCATAGAGCAGTAGCTTTGTTTTCGTGTTCATCTTTTTTTTTTTTTTTGCATACTGGGATTTGAACTCAGGGCCTACACCCTGAGCCACTCCAACAGCCCTTTTTAGTGATTTTTTTTTTCAAGATAGGGTCTCAAGAACTATTTGTCCGGGCTGGCTTCGGATCATGATTCTCCTGATCTCTGCCTTCTGAGTAGCTAGGATTACAGGCGTGAGCCCCAGTGCCCAGCTTTCTTGTTCATCTTATAAAAATTGAACAAATTTTTTCCAGAGAAGGGAAAAAAAAGGACAGCAGGAACATTTCAAATGGAAAGCAATCAGCTCTACTGATAAAAGCGAGGTAAAGAGAGGGGCTGGGGTCAGCTCAGAGGGAGTGCTTGCCTAGCATGTGCAAAGGCCCAGGATTCCATCCTCAGCACCACGAAAGCAAGAAAGAGCTGGACATGTGGCATGCCTGCAGTCCCGGCTACCTGGGAGGTGCTGGGAGGATCCCTTCAGCCCAGGAGTTTGGGGCCAGCCTGGGCAACAGAGCAAGACCCTGTTTCAAAAAAATGAAACAAAACAAGAACAAGATAAAGAAGGTAAAAAAGCATGAGACCATGAGAAAGGTCTCATGGAAAGGCAGGTTCAATTATAAATACTATTTTTAAACTCTGGCAAACAAAAGCTTATAATGCATAGAAATTATGGATCTGGGATATCTGTGAACAGGAAAAATGCCAAGACCCGAGGTAAAAACTGAAGCCATGATTAAAGAGCAGACATTATAACCTAAGCAGATAGCAAAAGGCCAGCTACTACCTGTTTTTTCATTGACACTGCTTTTCAAAAGAACCTGCAGGAAGAAGAACCAGTCCAAGGGATGAGACTAACCACAGGAAGGAAGGAAGTATGCTTTTCCTGAACAGGGCGGATGAAAGCAGGCGGATAAATTGCAAACACACACACAGGAAATTGGCTGGTTTGTTTTTTACTCAACCTTGTATATAGAGGTACACTGGGAGAGTTAAGGTAACGGACTATACCGTTGAAAATGACTAGATGTCAGCCAGGTGCAGTGGCTCACTCCTATAATTCCAGCTACTCAGGAGGCAGAACAGGAGGATCAAAGTTTGAGGGCACCCCCAGGCAAAAAGTTCCCAAGACCCCCTATCAACTAATAGGCCTGACATGGTGGCATATGCCTGAAATTCCAGCTATGGGAGGCCATAGGTAGGAGGATCATAGTCTGAGGCTGGCTCAGAGGCAAAAAGCAAGACCCTATCTGAAAAATAACCTAGAAGCAAAAAGGTGGTTAGGGGGCTAGGGGCATCACTCAGGTGGTACAGCTCTTGCCTAACACTAACAAGAACAAGAGGAAGCCCAGTGTTGGGGTTCTGCCTAGCAAGCACAAGGCCTTGAGCACAAATCCCAGTCCTGCAAAAAAGAATAGATGATCAGAGTAAAGATTATTGATATTTTTGTGTTTTGATAATTTTTTGGATTTTACTTTATTTTGAGATTTCATGAATTACCACAAATTCATGCCAGGATCTAGCAAACATGAGTTCAAACCCCAGTGTCCCCTCCCCCCACAAAAAAAGAGAGACTGCTGTATCTTATCTATATGGCCACCACTCTTAAATTTCATAAATCCTGTAACTGTGAAATGACGATGAAATAAAAACATAAGCAACAGCCTAATCCATTTTACCAACACATGAAAAGGAAGACTGTACTACAGAAAACCTGCATTCAGCTTATGGTCTGGAAAAGGGAGGCTGAAGACCTAGGATTTGATCAGAATTATCGAGTGTTTTCAAGAAAGACACTGAATCGTGTAGATAAGAGTATTCCTTTTCCTTTTTTTTAAGTAGTGAATGGTGACATCAAAGTAAACAATGAGGAGATACAGGGGGAATTTCCACCAAGGGGCTTTATCCAGTGAGATGATAAAGCTCAGGTAAGCCTCAAATTAACGATAGCTTGATCTACTATGTCTCAACTTCCCACAGATGCTGGGCTGAAGCCACAGTGAGACTCCTGGAGTGAGTGGACCAAGCACAGAGCAAAGCCAGCAAGGTCAGAATGGCTGTCTAAGGTCTACTGATTTGGTTGAAAATAACTAATCTCAGTGGCATGGTGGCTCACGCCTATAACCCTGACTACTTCAGGGCAGACACTAGGAGGATTATGGTTGTGGTCTGAGTCCAGCCCGGGGAAAACTTTAGTGAGACCCCATTTCAACTAAGAGGCCAGTTGTGGTGTCATGTGCTACAATCCTAGCTATTGGGAGGCATAAGTAGGAGGACCAAGGTCCGGCAGGCCCAGGCAAAAAGCAAGATCCTATCTGTTTTGGGTTTTTTTTTTTTTGGTAGTACTAGGGTTTGAACTCAGGGCTTCACACTTGCTAGGCAGGCTCTCTACTACTTATGCCGCCGTACCAGCCCTTTTTTTGGGTGTTGGGTATTTTCAAGATAGGATCTCACAAAGTATTTGCCCAGGCTGGCTTGGAACCGAAATCCTCCTGATCTCTTCCTCCTAGCTAGTGCCTGGCTAGCAAGACCCTATGTGAAAAAGCCGAAAAGGATTGGGGTCATGGCACAAATGCTAGAGCACCTGCCTAGCAAGCACAAAGCCGAGTTCAAACACAGTACAACATAACAACCGCAACAATAACACAACCCAAACACAACTAACCTCCTGCACACAGTAAGACCATAGGAAGCCAAGACAAAAAGTTTTAAATTAGACATCTTAAAGTATCAACTAAGTGTACTGTGACCTGTCTTAGAAGGCAGGCTTCTGCCCAATGGGGCTGTGCCTGCACTTCAGCCCACTTTCCACCAGATGGCGTAAGCTCTCTACCTAACCTGCATGCCTGTGGAGCACTGTCACAGCAAGTCAGGAAATCCTTACAAGCTGTAGCCAGCTGAGGTGCCCACATACCCGAAAATAAGTGTGTGCCAATAAAGCCAGTAAAATAAAGGCAAAATACACACCATGGGGAGGCGCTTCAACAAGAGATGCTGGGACAACTGGATGTCCACATGTAAAAGAATGCACTTTCTCAGATGTAATACCAAAAAGCATAAGGGACCGAAGAAAAACATAGGGAAATTCATACCTTAATGCTGAAAATGATACCCGCAAGAAGATAAAGACAAGTCACAGAATGGGAGGAAATGTCTACAAATCACATTTCTGATAAGGCGCTTGGTTCTAGAATCTATAAAGAACTTAACTCAGTAACAAAAAGACTTTAAAATGAGCCAAGGATTTAGACAGACATTTCTCAAAGGAGGCCACCAAGCACATAAAACCTGTTCAATGCCATTAGTCATTAGAGAAAGGCACGTCACCGCCTCACAACCACTAAAATGGTTGCAATCAAAGACAGTAACAAGTGTCGGTAAGACATGAACAAGTCGAGGCCTCATGTAGCTGGAGGGAAGGAAAAATGGTCTAGCCCTTAGGAAAACAGACTGGCAGCTCCTTAAATGCTAGACAGTTAGCACACGGTCCAGCAATACCACTCCTAGGTACAGACATAAGAAAAATGACGATATTTTCAGAGAAAAAATTCTACACTGATATTCGGCTATCATTTATGATAGCAAAAAAGTGGGAAGAGTGCAAATATCCAACAACTGATGAATGGCGAATCATGTGCTACCCCACGGTGTTACCCAGACATACAATGGGGACGAGGTACTAAGATATTTACCCTACAAGCCAAACAGCCAGACACACATAGCACATGCTGTGTGAGTCCATTTATATAAGATCTAAAAACTATCCATGTACTTTAGGCATACATGTATGCTATATAAATTATATCTCGATGAAGCTTTTAAAAATTCCATATGGTTGCTGGGTGCCGGTGGCTCACACCTGTAATGCTAGCTACTCAGGAGGCAGAGAGCAGGAGGATCAAGGTTCCAAGTCAGTCCAGGCAAATAGTTCTCAACACCCTATCTTGAAAAAACCCATCACAAAAAAAGGCTGGTGAAGTGGCTCAAGGTGTAGGCCCTGAGTTTGAGTCTCAGTACTGAAAATAAATAAATACATAAATAAATGACAGCATGTGCAAATTATCTTAAAATGTAAAAAAATTTTTTTCTTTTTTGGCAGTACTGGAGATTGAACTCAGGGTCTTGAGCTTACTAGACAAATGTTCTACCACTTGAGCCACATCCCAGTTCTTTTGGTCTTTTAGTTTCTTTTGAAATAGAAAGTCTCTACCTGCTGAGAAGCTGGGATTACAAGAATGTAAGGCTTTTAAATGTCAAATTCAAAGTTAATATAACAGGAAACCATGACAAATATGAAATAAACTAATCCATAATACTGTAATCTGGGTTATGAAAGAACAATTTAGGAAAAGGGAAATGGCCCATATAGAAATAAGGGAAGATGGAAGTGCCCAACCTGCTTTACTCTGTGTCTCTAGTGCTGTCCATGGCAGAGTCCTTCCTGTTAAGGTGACCATCCATTCACTGCTCTGGCTGGTGTAACCCTTCAGCAGAGTAAGATGACTGCCCTCCACATTACAGAGACTCACCATAAAGATCACTTTACAAACTCCATGTGCTCTGAACTCAGCAAACCATGCTGCTTCCTGTTCGAGGTCTTTTGGGGATGTGAAGGCCAGCCAACTCTGGTACACTCTTCCCCAGAGAATAATTCCTTCACTGAGACTTACCACTTACAAGGTTAGCTGCTATGAACCAATCCTCACACAGCCAACTAGCTTTGGTCATCCTTAGCAATTCATTTCTCATCTGACAGAGCTTGTGAGCAGTGACTCTCCACCAAACAGACATGGCTGGAATAGAATTCCTCAGGGGTGTCAGGCCTTCACTGATTATCACTGGCCTGATGGACAGGTTCTGTACCCCTTGGGTTGGCCTGCTCTGGACTGAGGCTTTCCCCAAGACACTACCTGCTACAGGGCCTACCAGAGCAGCCACCTCGCCTTCGTCCACAGGCCTCCATCCAGCTCAGCTGAACCTGTGACACTTCAACACCCTATATTCTACCATTACCCCCAGTCTCACCTTAACACAGAGAAATAGCTGAGGCCAACAGACTGTAGGTGCCCAAATCCAGAGTTAGAAGTGGAAGCAACGCCTTCAGATTCACAGCCAGTGCCTGTCCTGCTCAGCTCAGCTCCACTGGGAGCTAGGCCACTCCTTCCTATGCACGGCCATCCTCACGCTACTAGCTAACACCACTGGACACAAGGCCCAAAGAATTTTTTCTTAAATTGAAAAATTCCTATTGAGTTTTCTCTTTATAGTCTTTGAATCTCTCTGGAGGACATCTGAGTGTCAATGCCAGGAACTCGGCCAAAGTGAAGGAAGGAGACATCATTTTTTTATTATTTGAACTCTTATTATATGCTTTTATTACCCATATAAAAACATAATTTTTAAAAATTTCACGCTATAGAAAGACTTACAAAAGTCCCAGCGTTTATGCTATATGCATACCACATACAGTACTCTCACTGAAGAGAGTAAAAACTATGAAATACTGGGACCACCTTAAAAAAATCCAGAAAAATGTATCTATGTCAAAATTCAAAACTAAAATCTTGAAACATTATTTAACAGATACACCACAGATTTCATTTAATATTAGCAGAGCATGTCCTACTGGCCTTGTAAAACTAGGATGCCTAAGAATAAAAATGAATAAAAATACAGGATCTATTTTTTTCTTTTAGATGGATGGGACACACACAGGGTGTTGCGCAGGCGAGGCTCACTCTCGGCCGCTGAGCTCCATCTCCACCCAGATCTGCACTTCTGAGGCCACTTCGCCCTAAATACACTTTGCTATACAGTGGGATGAAGGCAGAAAACGGTTTGACACATGATTCTGATTCTGGGGGTACTCAGGTTTGTTATATAAATAGTTGGCCTCTGTGTCCACAGGTTCTGTATCTGAATTCAACCAACCTCACATCAAAGGTATTTGGAGGAGCCCCACCTCCCCACCTCCCCACCTCCCCACCTCCCGCCCCGTGCACCTGCACTGAGCATGCGCAGACTTCTTTTCCTGCCATTATTCCCTAATCAGCACACAGCACTGTTTCCAGCGTTCCCACATTCACACTGTACTAGGTACAAATGATCCAGGGTGATCTAAAGCACCGGGAGGATACACCGCACCCCGTGCCAACGCTACGCTGGAAGTCATATGGGACTTGAGCGTCCTGCACTTTGGTATCTGGGGCGGAGTGTGGGGGGCGCCTGGGACCAATCCCTATAGATACTGTGTGTGTATGCACGCGTGCGTGCGTGCGTGCGTGTGTGTGTGTGTGTATATGACAGTTTCCCCCACAATCGCTGTCAATCAGTTACTTTTTTCTAGTTTTAAGTGATTACACCATTAAAGTGATTTATTAGGCCATAAATCCATTACTATTTCCAGCAGCATCATAAAGAAGGCAATTTAGCCATACTTTTGTCACCACAGGATCTAAACATCTGAGTTGTTACCGGTCCTATCTATGTAGATTAGCACTATTGAACCTTCCTGAATTAGAAAACGTTCATATCAAAAAGCAAATATGAAAGCAATGAGTGCCAGGTCCAGGTCCTAAGCTGTCTAATCATCATAGCTGTAACACACTAGACTGCTCGTGTAGTCCCTCCTTCACTTAAATATTTAATGAACAATTATCATATGCCTGGCCCCATGCTAGGAAATTTTGATGTGACGACCATCAAAGCACACTTGGTACTGAAATGGCACTCTATAACCCACAAAGAAAGCAATAGCCATGTGTTAATTAAAAATAAATCTTTAGAGCCATGCACTGGTGCCTCACGCCTGTAATCCTAGCTACTCGGGAGGCAGAGATCAGGAGGATCACAGTTCGAAGCCAGCCTGCACAAACAGTTTGTGACACCCTATCTCGAAAAACCCCTATCACAAAAAATTGGGCTGGTGGAATGGTTCAAGGCCCTGAGTTACACACACACACACAAAAAAAAAAAAATAAATGTTTGAAAACACCAGACTTGGTTCTCGTTCTCACAGACAGTCTATCCAGTCAAGGAAACAAACATAAGTAAAATTACTCCCCCTTTCCAAAAAAAAACTGTGACTAAAAAATGACATCAGAATCCATATACAATGAATAAACCCTTAAAAAACAAAACAAAACTAAGTACCAGAGCAGCAAGTTCAGATCACATTGCAGGACATAAAAGTCTTGTAGCAAAATGAAATTACAGTGCAGGGGGTATGTAAGTAGCAGAACCAAGTCACTACACAGAAATACAATGTCAACCTTTGCTGTGGTCTGGGAGTAGCCCCCCAGCTGCAAGTTTGGTCCCAGTGTGGAGATGCTGAGAGGGGTGCAACTTTAAGAGCTAGGGCCTGGCAGAAGGTGGTTAGGTTATTTGGGCATCTGTCCTGGGAAAGGGTTAATGTGGTTCTCACTCCAGGACCTCAGTGAGTTCTAGGAGCAAGTTATTATAAAAATAGCAAGTCTTCCCACCCCCACCCCCAACTGTCTGGCTTCCTGACTTGCCATGTGATCTAAATTCTACACATAGCCATTTCCCTTTTTGTTTCTCTGCCATGTTGTAGTGCAGCCAAAGGAGCCTTCACCAGAGGCCAAACATAGTGCTGCCTTATCTTGGACTTCCATGTCTCCAAAAATGTGAGCTAAACAAACCTTTTTTCCGTATAAAGTACCAGCCTTAGGTATTTTGTTACAGCAATGGAAAAGGGACTGATACAGCATTCTTCTAATTCTTGTCAAAGATGACAGGGATTTTCAGTGATTGTAGCTCCAAATCCAGTTAACTGCAGATATCCTCAAAGCACTCTGGTCTTGCCATAGCCCAGAACCTTGGTCCAGCAACAATGAACTCCAGCACTGCTTAATGAGCAACCCTGAGAGCTCTTTCCTTCCCAGCCTCTTCCCACGACCCTACCAAGGCGTCAGAGTCAACATCATGGGCATCAGGGTCAGTATAACTCTCCACCAATTTCAGAGCGGAGACTCTGCTCACCTGATTGTCCAGTTTCAGCTGTCGAAGCTTCATGGTCTCATCTTCAAAGGCACTGTTTCAAAAAAAATAAGAAAAGAAATCATCGAGAAAATCATTCCCTCTATTATGTACTTCTCTAGGCTACTTGGAATCCACCAATTCTGCCTTAGAGAAAGCATCAGCTTCTAGAGACGGCTCACAGTGACTGCACACATACTACACAGAGAACCTGAGACTGGAATGAAATACACACAGGGGAAGAAAGAGAAGGTAGCACAGATTCCGTGTCAAGCCTGCAGGGATTCATTCATTCATTCATACTCACTCTCTCACTCTCTCTCTCTCTCTTTCTCCTCACCCAGGGCCTTACCACATGCTATGCAGTGTGCTCTAGCACTAAGCCATACAGCCAATCTTTTTGTTTTCAACCATGTATGGAGAACTCACTATGTTCCAACTCAGTGCTAAGCATTTAACATGCACTATTTGAATTACTCCTCGAAACAAGCCTATGAATTAGACAACTATTATTTTTCACATAGTGAAGAGGAAGAAACAGAGGCCTGGAGAACTGTGCCCAAGTTAATACAGAAAAAAAAAAAAAAAAAAAAAAGCCAAACCTGGCCTCCTTCTAGGGTCTGAATTAGACTTGAAGTCAAATAGACTTCTCTTTCTTTAGAGCAGGTTTGATGAGACTGGACAGCCTCTCACTAGCACTGTCTGATTCCTGAAGATGTTTAGGTTGTCATTAGGACATGTATGCACACACAAGATTTCACAGCACCGAGAGACAAATTTGTTAGATGGAAGAGAAAAAGGACAAAAAACTGAAGCAAACTGCTGTCTTCAGTCAATAAACCAAACCTTTCTGAACTTTTTTTTTTTTTTTGACAGAAATTCACTCTCTCTGTTGGCCTGGACTACGGCACTCAAGCAATCCTCCTGCCTCAGTCTCCTGAGTAGCCCAGGTGACAAGTGTATGCCACCATGCCCAACTTCAATTTTTAACTCTCTGAGGCCTTCTGTATAATTCTGACAACTCCCTAACTTAAGATTCCACTCTGTTTCTCAGCATTCTTGGGAAGAGTGAAGGTGTGAGCGAAGCAAAAATGGTTCCAGTTACTTGGATGATAAATTGTTACCAGCAGTTTACTGCCAGAAAAACTGCAAGTACCCAGTCCCACTTCAGGAGAAAATTCCACGAGGACAAAGGGAAACATGGCTTTTGCTGCATTGGGGTGAATACCCAACGCCCCTATCCACGGTCAAATGGCTCATCACTACCTCCTGCCTTTTACCTTAAAAAGCCTAGCAACTTGACACCTGCATACTGTCTGTAAGCTCTACTGTCTACAACCTGCAAACAGGTCTAATTACCTCTTAGATGTGGAGGCGCTTTCTGATTCCCTAACACCCCCTCCCTCTATTGATTGCCTCCTAATATTTATAGTTTTTTAAGTAATTAATTGCTTTTTTTGGGGTGGGACTGGGGTTTGAATTCAGGGTTGTCCGCTTGCAAAGCAGTGCTCTACTGCTTGAGCCACACCTACTGATTAATTTTTGAGACAGGGTTTCACTGTGTAGCCCAGACTGGCCTTGAACTAGCCTGCATCAGTCTACCGAGTATAGCATTACAGGTGTGCACTACTACACCCAACATAACCTTTATATGTTTAAAGAACAAAACAAAGGCTGGAGATATAGCTCAGTATTACAGCACTTGCCTAGCATACAAAGACCCTGAGTTCAATCCCCAGCACTGCAAAACAAAACAATGCAGGGTACTCAATACATCATTTACTGTCTCACAGTTCAAAAGAGGGACAAATAAATAAACAAAAATGTCAGCTGTGTTATGCTTCATTTCTTCTAGATATATTTTAATGTATTCCTTAATGTTTTTACCTTATTTGTATGTTTTTTTGTGGGACTGAGGTTTGAACTCAGGGCTTTGCACTTGCAAAGCAGGTGCTCTACTGCTTGAGCCATACCTGCAGCCCATTTTGCTCTGGTTATTTTAGAGATAGGGTGTTGAGAACTATTTGCCTGGGCTGGTCTCAGCCTTGCACGTAGCTAGGATTACAGCCACAGGCATCTGGCTATCATTAATATGTCCTTAAATCCTAGCTTCATTAATACAGTGCTAGCATATAATTGGTAGCATAAATTTGCAAAGATTCTATATAAAATGACTAAGATGAAAAATATGAACATTACATAGGAAAGGCCAACCTGAAGGAAAAAATTCCACCATAACACACCAGTGTTTTTTTCTGCTGTCTATACTCAACACTTAACCAACATTGTGATGCCTTCCCACATGGAGAAAAAAAAAAATCATCTTCCCTGCCCTCCCCTCCTCCCCCACCCAAAGCCCTGAGACCTCCTCAGTAATCTAGGCTCTGACACACAACTGAAGTCCTCAGACATTCCTCTAGGGCCTCTAATTGTGAAGAAGCCAGGTATCTTCAATGCCATATCCAGACACCACTTAATTCCTTTCATCAAGCCTGGGCAAGCTGAGCAGAAGATCTAAATAACAGGGTATAATGGAAGCACCTGACCTGAACAAAAGGGACATGGACTAGGTGTCACGTGACTGCAACATTTCGATACCACCCATACAGTAAAAGTCTTTTCAAGGCTAAGCACAGTGACTCAGGACATGGAGATGGGGAAGATGACTCAAGGCCAGCCCAGGCAAAAAGTTAGTGAGACCCCCCATCTCAACAAATAAGTCAGATGTGGTGGCTTACACAGGAGGGTAAGTAGGAGGATCAGGGCGCAGGCTGACCCAGACAAAAATGCAAGATCATATCCAAAAAGAACGAAAGCAGAAAGGACTGGGTGTGCCTCACGTGATAAGACACCTTCTTGGGGAGGGTGAGGCCTTGAGTTCAAACCCCAGTACCACCAAAAAAAAAAAAAAAAAGCCATACAGGTTCTAAACTCAAGTTATAACTTAGCAGAAAGAGATATTTTACATACTTATATTCAACTTGCAGTAATCCCCTTTCCTTCATTTCAAACTAAGTTATTAAACAGCAAGCCTAACCAAGACTAGTTACTATATCAACTCAAAATAGAACGAATTCCTGCCAAATAGCAGAAATGAATTACTGGTGGGCATCCTTAGCAGGCACAAGGCCCCAGGTTCCACCCTGGATTCTCAGCACCACAAAAAGAAAATGGAATCACTACTTTTCCTCCTATTATTTCTCATGTTAAATTCACACGAGGAGACTGTGGGGAGTGGAGTAGGAGAAGCCTATGAGGACGTAAGCACAGTTGTACTTAATATTCTGCAGGCTAAGATTGGCCCAGCCCCAGCTGCAGAAGAAGGCTAGAGTAAGATGCAGAGCAGCTGCTTTTCCTAAATTGTTTGAGCTCAGTGAAGCAGGAGCAGGTTCCTCTTGTTACAATGTCATGCCCCTCCCAAAGACTAGCTGCTCCACCTCCTTTTTACCACTGGGTATAAAAGACTTGCTGAAGGAGGATGAGGCTTTTGGATGAAGGGAGGACTGCTAGAGGGAAGATTACTGAAAGGGGAAAATGAATGGCTGAAGGGGAACTGCTGAAGGGAGGATTGCTGAAGGGAAAATAACTGCTAAAGGTGAATTGCTAAAAAGGGGCTGACAGAATTGGTTGGCAGCTTGCGAGGACAGTGCAAGTCTGCACTGAGAACTTTATACATAGGCTTTAGAAAAGCTAAAGAGAACATGGGACAGTGCAAGTCTAGGGGCAAAGACTTTAAGAGATTATGCTAAAGAAAAGCTAAGAGAAAACATGGGACAGTGCAAGTATAAGGAAAGAGACTTTAAAGAACAGAAAAGAAGACTTTAGAAGTGAGGTTTTAAAGAATAGAAAGAAGAAAAACTTTAGAAGCAAGGTTTTAAAGAATTTTAAAGGAGTAAGGCCTTAAAGAATAAAGATAGAGAAAAGAAGCAGAGTAAATGAAGAGAATAATAGAGAAAAGAAGCAATGAGGCGGTGGTGCGTCTCCACCTGAACGCCCAACACACCTGGCCCCAGCTTTCTGCATGTCTGTCTGTCTGTCCTGCGTCCTTTCTGCATCTCCCGTCATCCTCAGTTAGGCCCACTTAGGTTCAGTAACAGGAATGCAGGGAAGCTCGCTTCAGGGAACCCCGAAACATACATCTTGGAGATCACACACATGTAACATGACCAAAGTCTAAACTAAAGATGCTTATAGGGCCTGACCACTGCAGGGCCACAGAGCAGACTTAGGGAATGTGCTCCAACCCATTTATCTTGGCTGTGGACACCAAATCTTCCTCCTAACCCCCATACTATTCTTCTCTTACTCCCTAACAAACATTTGGCAAAGTCAACTAAAGGAGAACTGTTCATCCACTCTCATGTTCATGCTTTTAAGATCACTAATGGAGACAGTTGTGGTGGTACATGCCTGTAATCCCAGCGCTCAGGAGGCTGAGGCAAGTAGATTGTTGAGTTCAAGGTCAGCCTGAGCTACACAATGAGAACCTATCTGAACATAAAGAAAACAAAAATCCCAAGAATCACTAAATGGGAGTCTAATACTCCTAATGCCTTAGGCGTGTAACACATTTTTATTTTATCCTTTTTTCCCTGTTTAAAGTTGTTTTCTTGAAATAGGGCTGGGGACATAGCTTTGTGGTAGAGCACTTGCCTAGCATGTGAAGGCCCTGGGCTGGATCCCAGCACTGCAAAAAAAAAAAAAAAAAAGACACTAGATGAACTGAGAAAAAATCAAATTAAAATGGGGTGGGGCAGATCTCAGAGGCAGAACTCATGCTTAGCATGCTCGAGGTCCTAGGCTTCATCCCCAGCACTACAAAAAAAAACAAAAGTAAGCTAGAGAAACACTCTTGCTAGTCGTGCAACAGACACTGGGCACAACGAATGCAGACATCAGAGCATGAGTGCACAGTAAACAACCTTCAATCTTAACCCAAGTACGCACTCTCCCCTGGCCACCTGCCATGGAAGAAGTGGTGTCCCTCCACCAGTGCTGCGGGGCCTGACCCCTCGCTCCCAGCATTCTCACAGTGTTCCTGTGTCCCCGGCTTGT